ACAGTATTCTCAGTTTGTTTCAACTATGTTGCTTTTGCAGCCATCGTTGCTTCGCTATTTCTATCGAAAGCTTCTTGGTATCCTTGTGATATACTGGTCAACAACTGTTCGGATAGTTCCCCTTTCTGTTTCTTCTTTCGGAGCAAGCGATTACCTTGTGCTCCCAGCGCAAGGTCTGCATGAGACGCCATAACCTCGGACTCTTCTCCACCGCCACAAGTCGAACACAAAGCAAGATTGGTTGCCCCATACCCATCTGCAGTCGGTACCACAATTATCGTGCTAACAACTTTGCCTTGGCCAAAGGGACCGCTCATAGAAGACGATTTTTCCGATGCCTTGTCGAGCCCAATGAGAAAAAGCCTATACTTGCCGCATCAGATGTTGCTGCTTCCGCCATTATGGAATGAAAGCAATTAATGTATAGAATTGGGGGATGGATGGAATTGATGGATGGAATTGATGGATGGAATTGATGGATGGAACTGATGGATGGAATTGATGGATGGAACTGATGGATGGAATTGATGGATGGAATTGATGGATGGAACTGATGCGTGCTCTATACTGTACAGTCTTTTGAAGTAAAGGTTGAAGGTGGAGCACCACTCAAACACCCGGCAGAGTGAGGACTTCCAAATTTGTCATGGCCACTCTTGGGTAATATCCAATACGTCATCATTGGACCCGTTCTGTGTGACACTCCCAACCATTGTCCTACTTTGTTCGTTCCCAGAGCGCCGTCTGTTCGGTAGTATACCCATCCGAGGTATCGACTTGTGGTTGAAATAGGCTGTGTGGGTTGAGAACTTGCCTTTCAGTCTTGGTCTTAGGAACATGCGGTCTGGTAGTATGGCGGATCTTGTTCCCCTTTGTAGTGTTGATCTCAAGGTGGCGCGTGCTCTGTGCAAACCGATTCCTAGTCGTTCAGATAGGTTTTCTGCCGTTGCTTTGGTGTGTCGTTCTGTGGATACAAAGGACGGCCTCACAGGTACATCTGCAAATTGTGCATCATCGTCCATTTGTCCAACTTGTTGGAAGAACCTCTCCTTATTGACTATTGTCTGCTGTACCGTGCGCCATTTGTTCATTTCTTGCATGATTGGATCCAATTGTCTCAATTCAGCTTCGTTGGATCTTGGATCATCTATTGGATCTTTGTGGACAATTGAGACTTTCCCAAGTTGTACGGTACCTGGGTTCCAAGGCACCTTGCTCTTCATATCAATGTGGGGGCAATTTGCAAGTTCTTGATCAGTTGCGGCCCTTGAATCAAATAGTTTGCCTTGAGTGCAACAAATATTGGCTTAGTTTTGATGCCAATATTCCTCACCTCATCAAACGGATTGTCCCATAGGGGAATTCCGAACTTGCGGACTTGGTTTGGGTTGATCAATGAATGATCTAACCGGTTCCCATAGTAAAGTGCTTTGTTGAATATCAATATGAACGTGTTGCCGCTCTGTGGGCCGTC